GTTTCATGTATGAGTAGCATAAAGTTAGCTTTGGTTTTTTATCCATTCTGGCGGTCTTTGTCTTTTGAATAGATCATCTAGCTTATTTATTCTTAACATAGCTACTGTATGTTGTACTTAAATCGACCATCTCATTCATGCTGCTTGTCTCTTCTATGTTTCTGTTATTGTTTTTCTAATCTCTTTGATTGATTACTTTGGGCACAAAGTAAGCAAAATTCTGTGCCTTCTCTTGACAATTTAACCTCAGTTAAATTTCCAGCTCTGTTCCCCTGTAATCTAGGAAGATGTATTTGAACTATATTACTAGGCAGCATCACTTAATGATAAAAACTACCCAACTCGTAAATTGCATCTGAACTGGGAGAATGATAAATGCCTGGTGGGGATGACATACTTTTGGCTTCCCAAGTGTGGTGACTCGTGTATTAGGCATGTCCCTGTCAAGGACTTGGGAGCTATGTCTTTAGAATTGTTCTAAGAGATGTTGAATGCTAGGGGGTGTGAGGCTTTTAAACCAAGGGCACTTCCCACACGTGTCTGCTGTGGACCCCATCTCCGTGGGCCTGCGCTCTCTTTCGCCGGCCTGCCGTGTGGACTGCGGCACCGCCCTGACGCTGCCTGCTGGCGAGCCAGGCTCTGGTCTTCTGAGTAGACTCGTGCCAAGTATGGCCACGAATCTTTTGAGTCAGAATGTTTAGTTAAGCCTAGGAGGACACCCTTTCCTCTCACGTCCCCCCACCGCTCTGTTTCAATTTTTTATCACTCCCTTTACTCCCTGTATTATTTTAGAAGATTTATATCATAATATTGTTTGGCAGTTACTTGAGTTATTACAGTGTCATTCTTGAACGTAAAAACCTAATATTTGGTGCTTTAATCTCCTTCCTGGACAATGCAAGGTCCATAAAACATCTTAATTCCATTCATCTTCCTCCCCACTTATGTGCTCTTTTAGTCATGTATTTATATTTAAATATACTTAATATTTAAATATATATATTAGGCCAGTAAGATGATGACATCTTATTATTATTATTACTACTAGGTATTGTCAGTATCTGTTTAGATTTCCTCATTTATCACTTCTTTCCTTCCTTTTTCTGTGTCGCTGACCTTCATCTGGGACCATTTCTCTTCTGCCTGAACTTCATCCTGGTATCTTTGAGGCCCGATGTTGACACTTTCTCAGTTTTTGTTTACCTGAGAATATTTTATGCTGTTTTCCTTCTAGAAGAATATTTTTGCTGGGTGTAAAATTCTGCACTGACAGTTCTTTCAGCAATTCAGAGAAGTACTCGTTTGTCTTCTGGATTCCATTGTTTCTTTTGGGAAGTCAGCTGTCAGTCTATTTGTTGCTTCTTAAGGTAATCTGACTTTTTCCTTCTGACTGCTTTTCTTTGGTTTTCAGAAGTCTTCCTATGATGCACATAGGTGTAGGGTTTTTTTTTTTTTTAAATCTTGCTTGCAATGTATAGGACTTCTTCAGTTTGCTATAGCTTGATTGTTTTTCATTGGTTTTGCAAAATTCCTGGCTATTAGCTCTTCACATACTGCTTCTGCCCCTTCTGTCTCCTCTCCTTCAGGACCCCAGTTACTTAGACCATGTCACTCTATCTTCTGTGCCTCTTAACCTCTCATGTTTTCCATCTTTTTATCTCTCCATGATCCATTCTGGGAAATTTCTTCTCACCTATCTTCTAGTCCATTATTTTTTTATTCAGCTATTTCTAATCTACTCTTTAACTGAAGTACTGAGTTCTTGATTTCTGCTATTGCATTTTGAGTCTCAGGTTTTTCATTTGGTTTAGCTCTTATAGTTTCTGGTTCTCTAAAAATTTCTCAATATTGTCTTTTATCATCTTGAACATGTTAGACGTAGTTATTTTAATATTCTTATCTGATAACTCCAATATCTAGACCCCTTCGGGTCTGTTTGTTTTGTATGTTTGTTGTTTTGCTATTTCCAATTCATGTTATCTTGGCTCCTTATATGTCTGGTTAATTTTTATTTTGTTCCAAACATTCTATTTGCAAAACTGTATACAGGAAGAATTGGAGGCCCAAGTTTATGTAATCTTTCTCTAGGGGAGATTTATCTTTGCTCCTTTTAGGCCGCTGAAAGCACTGATATTCCAAAGAAGCTATCCCAGTTTGAAGGACTAAAATGATTCAAAGCTGAATCCCTGTGCCTGGGAGGGACTGCCTACTTCTGATTCACCCTTATTGCTAGTGGCAGCCTTTTTGGGTCCCAACCCAAAGTGAGAGGGGTTTACCTGTGACCTCCTTCTTTTCAGGCCCTAGTCTCTAATCTGTGTCCTACTTGCTTATGAGGCTATCAGAACCATTATTCAGATCCCCCCACTTCCTTTGGAGTTGGCAAATCCCGCCCTCCCCCCCAAAAAAGGAAAAAACCTCTTCTGGGTTCTGGGTTCTCCACTACCTTGTTAGCTCTCCAGTGTCTTTAAGCAGGTGTTTTGCCTGTTTTGTTTGCCTGTCCTTGTTGTCCCCAGCATGAGTGTTGGTTTAAATTGCCTCATCTGTCCTTATGTAAGTAGAATTCCAAATATCCTCATTTCATTAAATTATTAGGTCCATGAAGACTTTATCATAGCTAGTTAAGAGCAGAGACAACTAAGACCCAAGTGTCTTGATTCTGTATAAGGCATATT